GCACATGTTCATACCATTGGATGCTGTACAGCTTTTAAAATCAGCAAATGACTATTATGTACAATGTGCCCAATACTAAAAACCACATAAACGGCCAGGGATGTAGCTCAGTGGTTCCACCACCTGCTTTGCAACCAAGGTCCTTAATCAAGCTGTACAATGAGAGACTGCATTTTTCTGTAAGTTTGTTATGCTTTAGTTTGCCATAAAAGCTTGTCCTTAAAATGACAACATCAGAATCTAATGAAATTTTTTAAACAAATGTACAATAGAGAACTGATAAAGGCAAAAGTTGCTTCTTGCAAAAAAAAAAAAAAAAAAAGCCACACAAGACTGATCAAGTAGAAAATAATTACAAAACTAATCAGTATAAAGGATGAAGAATATGGAGACATTAGTAGAAGATAACAGTGAATAATCTTAGGCCAAAAACTTAAAATTTATAATGAAATAGAAAAAAAATTCTATAACAAAGTTGACCAAAAAAAGGGAAAAAAATAAAAAAAAAAAAAAGTAAAGCCACACAAGACTGATCAAGTAGAAAATAATTACAAAACTAATCAGTATAAAGGATGAAGAATATGGAGACATTAGTAGAAGATAACAGTGAATAATCTTAGGCCAAAAACTTAAAATTTATAATGAAATAGAAAAAAAATTCTATAACAAAGTTGACCAAAAAAATGGGGAAAAAAATTTAAATACCCTTACTGTAAAAGAAAGTCTAGCTCCAGATCATTTTAAATTTTAACTCTACCATATTATACATACAAGGAAACAGAGTCAAATGTACTCCTCTCTTGGAATTGCTTGCCACTTCTGTGTTAAGCTTTCATAGCTCCAAGAATCCTCCAGTTACTGTAATGAACCGTTGTTCTGGAAGGAGGCAGTCATGGCCGAACCTGCCAGGCGCAGTGCTGACTGGCGACGGGCACCATCCCTGCCTGAGAAGAGACGGTAGTTCACAGGACCTCAGTCAGGCACAGAATGGACTGGTCCCTGCCATGGCCCTAGGTTACAAGGTCAGGGGAAGGCCAC